ACACATACACATACATAAGCATATTCATGCACATATACATATACATACACATATACATATACATACACATATACATATACATACATTCCCATACAGACATATATTGTACATACACACATACTCTTGCATGTACTTATACGTATACACACGCACAGTCGCATACCCTCTCACAAGTAGAAACAGATTTAAAATTCTGCTCATTTCAGACTCAAAGACACATTATCTCACATCTGACGGCGACGACTGTCCCCAGCTGACTTTTTAGTGTGTACATATTGAGTTTTGTTGCAAAATAAATATTTATACATGGAGCAGTTTGTTTCGGTTCATGTTTTGGTATACTACAAGTCTACAAAGCTTTATTCTCATTTTGATGAAGTGACCTATATGCTTGCTACTTTCTCTTGTGAGGGCTAGTTGGGATTTAGGAACCGGGGTGCACCCAGGGCTAGCACCGTGCCAGTCTGATAGTATTTTCTACTTTCTCTCCTGAGTGATGACAGTCAGGATTTTAGGAGCAGGGTGCTTCACTGCACCGTGCGCACAAGTCGCAAGATAGTCAGCCTGTCAGGTGTTTTGTAAAAATGAAGGTATTTTTCATCGCCTTCTTCTTTAGAAATTTTATATATTTTTGTTGATGTAGAAGTAAAAATATTTCTGTATTTGGCTCCATATGTACATAAATATCACGAATTCACGACAATGTCCACAAAAATAGTACAAATGTATAGAGTATAGACTATGTAATAGTAAATATAAAAAATATTAAAATGTGTCAAATCTGGTTAAAAGTTTAAAAACCAATCAAAACGTAGGTAGTAGCGTTCTTCAATCTTCGTTATGTGTAGATTCCACAACAAACTATCACGAGTAAACCATAACCAATCAAATACACATGAATCGAATATTTTATTGTGGAAAACGAAAAAAGAAATAAAAAAAGAAAGCTATATTGGAGCCCAAAGGGCAAAGAGTCAAGGACCCCACGCCCCATGCCCCACGGCCACCTTTAATCATGTATTGATGTATGTAGTCAGATGTACATACCAACAGACACCACTCACCAGCAGCTGCTCAGTGCTCGCTGCTCAGTCTTCCCCAATCCACCTACATATCAGCCAGAAAGACGCATGCCGATTGAAAATGTCTCTATTTTTATTAATAGCACAGGCAACTCTGAAGAACATAGGTCCCTTGAGCACAGGCAAACATTCCGATTTCAGGATGCTCTACATAGGCCGTTGCTTCGCAGTAATTTTAAAATATAAATAAAGATTTATCAGAGCAGTCTGGCATCGCTTATTGTATATCTTGGGTAGATAAAACGTAGCTAAAACACAGGACATACCTTCGCGGTGTAAAATTCAAATTCACTATGCAGAAGCGACCGACAAATCAATTCGGAAAAATGTCAAGTGCTAGTGGCCTAAATGCTAACGCTTCAGATGAAGTATGTATGTGTATGTATGCGTGTATATTCGATAAAGATCTGTTGACTGTGTGCAGATGAAAATAATAATTTGGTTTGGTGAATGTACCATATCGTGTCAGCAGTTTGAAATTGGTGTTCCATGTTTGGTCGGATACAATAGTTGACAGCTGCCCTATGTGGCGGCTTGTTATATATATATATATTATAAACTTACATACATACATATATACATACATACATACATACATATATACATACATACACATATTAATACAAACACTTACACACACTTACACACACACACACACACACACACACACACACACACACTATATATATATATAAGATATACATATATACATACATACATACATACATACACACACACACAC